GTTTATGTATATGCCGTCTCACTTTGTCCTAGTCATGACATGCCCTGACATGCCCTTGCTTCTTCTTCATGGTGATCCCCGATTACATAATACATCACGTTAGTTCCCCTCCCAACTGCCATATATATAATTACCGATAGTTTTCTCGATATATATATATATGGTCTCGACAAGCTTTTTTTTCCAGTGGAAAAGAAGCTGTGGATGAATAAGTAATTGAAGTGACGCAAGCAAGAATTATCTTTTTGCACCAGCTGACCACCCCCCCTCCCCCCCATGGCATGAGTTGTTACATAGGAGGATTCACCTTTCGCAAGAAACACCGGAAAAAAAAAGGGGTCGTGATGCGGCTGCCCCCGCGCGCACACTCACATGTGAGAACAAAGTTATGTAACGATCGATCAATAAATTGATCCGCACGAGCTTCGCAGACGCGAGAGCATCCAGCTTATAGCGCTTGTATATACACGGTCTTTCGTCTCGTCGGATATGAACGACGAGAAAATACTGAACAACAGCGGGGGCATGAGAATGAAAGATTTAAAAACATAAGATAACAACCAAAAGGAAGACCGGCCGGCCCCATTGATGATACATATATATTTTATCGTCGTAGTGGATAATTTGGTTACAAGTTTATGATCAGTCAATCGAGTGAGTAGTGGTAGTTAAAAGTGAGTAGCAAAAAAAGTTGGTTGGGCAGAAAAAAAAAGCGGGTCTATCTATCTCCTTGTGCATCGAACAGAATATCGTCAAGGGAAAGGAGAGAAAGAGAAAGAGAAAGAGAAAAAAGGAGTGAACGGAGACGATTTTCGATGATGGATGATGATGAACAATACAGCGTTGACCGGGAGAAAAAAAAAGAAAAAACAACGGCGGAACGGACCCCCCTCCCCCCCCTCCAAATGCCCATTGACAGACAGCCTTCCTCAACCCAACCCCCAACCCTTAACATATATACACCCATGGGGTGAAAGGGAATCCATGCACTAAAGGTAGGCAGGCGAGAGAGTACAAGTGTTGGTTTTTTTTTACGAAGACACAAATTATGAGCATGTTTGTTATCGCAAGAAAAAAAAAAAAAGCCGCGGGCTAGCTAAGAATCAACCGTCCTTGTCACGAGGCTCTAGTTGGACGTGCATGCTGAATGCTGAAAGAGGGTATACTGGTTTGGTTCTCTCCTTGTTTTAAGCCTAAAAGGGCGGAGGGGGGAGAGTTGGAGAAAAGAGGATGCGGAAGTCAAGTAAGAATCCCCACCTTCCTTGCATCGTGATCTGATCGTAGAAGAAAAACAGAAATCGCATATAAAAAAAGTTTCTACTTGATTTGCTGATTGATTGATTGATTGGCTCGGCGTGCGCCCTCCGAATGTGGCGGAGGAATAGATTGGGGTTGACCATGTGAGTGATTTAAAAAAGGGACGTTGGGGTAATTTAATTGGTGAGAGGTGGGACGAGAGAATCTCGTGAGAGAGAGAAGGAATATATATATATGTGTGGATCTTGGGCTTGGGGGACTGGGGGAAGAGCCAACCTGTCCCACTGGTTCGTTGAAGGGGGGAGGGGAGGAGGTAGTTATTGAATTAGTGGCCCATAATGTCGGACAGGCGCTTGTGGTGAAGGGCACCCAAGCGGTGTCATCCAGTTGGGGGGGGAACGGGTCATGGACGGCCCGGCCGCCGCATGAGAGCTAGAAGATAAGATATAGGGGGAGGAAAGTATATAGCCATATATGTGAACGAAGAGAGGAACGTGTGATCAACTAAAATGGCGGTTGTATGAGTGTGTGGGACAAGAGGGAAAGGGTGGGGAATAGGCTACACGTTGATTTTTTTTTTAAATCCCCGATCCTAGACGCGCGTCGTCGCTGGACCGTGTGGTGGTGGATAAGCTTGGGAATGGGAATCTTGATGGTTCCCATTAGTGTATGGATCCATTCCTCCATTCATATCGTTCGTTGGGGATGGGGCGTGAAAAGCCAATAAAGCTTCGGCGTTATCCGCAGTGTTGAGCATTCTCTCGATAGAATCGAATGCGATGGAGCGTGCCTGGGAATGAGAGTGTTTGTTGAGGGGAAGAAGAGGTGTTGAACAATGTGTGATCGAGACAAAGAAGGAAAACTTGACGTACAAGAACGTAGCCACCTGGAGGGATGCGAGCGCGTGTTTGAGAGATGAGAGAATGAATGACGTCCATGCAGTGGTTGATTCTGTATTGTAATAACAGAGGAGCAAGCAAACAGCAGAGTCAGCAATTGAATCAGTGGACGCGGAAATCGGTTAAACAACTTCTTTGCTGCTTTTTGGCAAAGGGCCCCGCTCCAAGCGGACCAAGCAGCAATGAGACAGTGGAGGGGGATGCAGGAAGGGGAGGGGGGAGGTTATGGTGAACAACGAAAAAAACACTTACAGGACAGAACGAAGTTCGCGCTTATTACGTGGGGAGATCGGATACTCGTCTCTTCTTGTCACGAAGCGTAAAACGGCACTGTATGCGGCACAGGCTGCCATCGTGTTGATAGTGATGTCCGGGTCAGACCAGATGTTATCTCTACCAGGGATGAGGGCGGGTGAGAAAAATGTTGTGGGGGGGGGGGCCACATGAATCAGACGTGTAACAACACGTACTTGATGTGCGCTTGGGCAGCGTACTCGGAAGAGGATTGCGGGTAGAAGCGGTCGATAGCCATTTGGTCGTGCTTTGTTGTAAAAAGATGTTGGGTGAAAGTTTGCTTTAAGGTTGTCTAAGATGATGTGAGAGGCAGAGAGGGAAGGAGAGAGAGCGGAAACGCAATCAGAAAAAAGTTGATGCCCAAGATGATTATATATATGCACGGGTCGTGAGATTGCGGATTCTATGTGAATTGATTTTCCAAGTCATTTTCTACATTCAATTCATATATCTCGTCCCCACTCAATCTATCCTTTTCCAGGGAATCTCGGACATTGTGTTCAAACTGAATTACATATTACAAAAAAAAAAACGCACGTTTTCCTCTTCTCGGAGTTCAATTTTGAACGTGCGGGTTGCCTTCCTATCATTCAAATAGTTTAGGCGGCCATTGATAGTGTAAGCGAAAAGAATGATTCGCATCCGATATTGAATTATGATCGGCCGTTTCCAGTCAGCCTTATATGGAATCTTCCTGGGAACTCCGGGCATGAATAAAAACCCCTGCAACACACACGTCACGCAACCCCCGAGCTTCCCGACCAGCCACCGGAGAGTGGCGTTACTTAAAAAAAAACCAAACCCTTAGAGTCATTCGCTTCTTTGTGTATCACAAAACGCGCGGCCGGGAAGCTTTTGTGGCCGCGCGCAGATGCGCGATGCATTCGCGATTCGGATTACATCGCGTGGCAAAGCTCAAGCCACGCGTTGTGTGTATCATATAGAGGCTGGAGTCCACGCGTTACATAGTCACTCCAATTTGATTTTACAGTGAGCTCCACCCCTTGGCACAGCTTACATATACTTATATGAGGGGCGCTTCCTCCATCTGATACGGGTCAAACGTGCGTAGTAATTCATACCATATATACCTGTAATTGTACTTGGAGGATATGCCGTGCGGCGCACCTCATGGCCCAGTTGTTTTACGCTGTTATGCATAATGCGTCAGAGTAACAACAGTTTCGGCAACCCGTTCTCTTACGTATGTATATGATATATCCCTCGCTTTGATCACCGTTCCGAACATTGTAAAGGTAGCCGTACCACCCCAAAGAGAGAAACTCGGTCGTCATTGGAGTACGTATACGATGCGATCGCAATGGGGTGTTGTGATCGGTCGCCCTATCCCACACCCGGATCATATGAAAAATAGGCCTCCCCCCCGCGCAAAGTTCCCCTGCAAAAAGCCGCTTCATGTTTATCATGTTTAGATGGACAAATCATGTTCCAGGGGTGTAGTTCGCGCGTTGCAGCCGGTTACCGGGGCCCGACACTCACGCATACACATTCCACAAAATTAACAAAGGAAAAAGTTTATAGTCTCCAAGCAACCTGCGCTTGGGAAGAGAAGGTAGCCAGAAACGGAAAATGGTGTAAATGCCATCATGAGATGTACTCTCAATCTGATCGTTGGCCTGTGTGGTGTTGGGCGGCGTAGCATGAAGAACCCGCCAAGGGAAGAAGCGAGCCCCAGGATTTACTAGGTCAAGGACTCTTGGCATCACGATCATTTGAATCGGTCATGCCCACGCGATTCAACAACAAGACTTCCACTGCAGATTCGCACTAATTCGGTGAAACAAGAGATTCAGATACGGCGTTTGGTATAATTCTAGTCTAAGGGGGGGAAAGATATCACCCAAGGATATGTAAGATGACCCCCCTACGGGGGTGCAGGGGCGCAGGAGCGAATCAGATGAGAAGGGTCTCCGACTCGGAGGTCCCCATTTAGTGTTTGTTCATCAACCACACACTACTTTATAAGTGAACAGTAGTAAGTACTGCCATTGGGGGAATGCAAATAGCAATTCTGGACCTTATCGAGGCGGCGCCGTGAGTGCGGTGGTTGCGCACAAAAAAAAAAAACACGGCCTTTATAGCAATGCAACTTGGTTCATGCATGGATCAATCGAGGGGATCGATCATTGAGCAACAAGAGGACTGGGTTGTTGCAGATCGTCAGTTTTATCATGATTATCGGTGCGTGTGCAATATGCACTTACCATCTTATGCATTCAATGCGCTGACCAAATCCCCGACTCTTTTCTTCAATAGTAACTGTCGATCCCATACATCTATCTAGAGTGAAGTTGTGTGGAGGAGGATGCTCAATGTTATCGGGACGATCGATCCATATAACCATCTGGCTCAAGCCCGCGCGGATATCGAAAGGGGATCGCGCGACCGTGGCGCCGGTTTTGCGCCGATATCTTCTTCTTGTGTGCATGTACGTGGACGTTGACTTAGGGGGGTGCCATCCCGTCGATACCGGATCGAATGGACAGTAATATTAATGTGGTTCCGGAGAAGGGTTGGGTGAGGGGGGCAGCACGTTCTCGGGAAGGGCACGGGATTATATTGACGTCATGACGACAGACTCGAGACAAATTCCCGCTACTCTGTAGCGGGTCTTGGATGCGTAGACTGAATGGCCGTGCACAAATATTGGTTATACCCCGGTTATACCCTTTTTTTGCCTCAGCTTGCTGACATACGATTTTAGCTCATCACGCTTACCACAGCTGAACGCTGGAAACCTCCTGGTTCATGTCCACGTGCTTTACAACCTGGCTTATCCAATCTCCCCACTTCCCCCGCCTCGACACCAAGTGCACTCTCCCCTCTCCGTACTCTTGCACTACACCATGTCGTCTTCTCCCAACTTAGCGTTTTTTCACGGTTCGTGGCCATTAATTTTCCTAACCAATGACGGGGTTCCCAATTACCATCTCACCAAAGAAACGATAGCTCACGGCCTGTATGACTTCTCGTTGACGATCAACGATCAACGGATTTTGCTCTTACGCCACATTCTCTGTGCTCATTGCTATTCCAGCTGTCTAGATGCATGTGTTGCTCACCGCTCTCAATATCCTTCGCGTGATCTCTTTTGCCGCGCTCTGTTTGAGTACCTCCTGTCTTCTCATGCTTTGCACGCCCTTTGTTACTCCGTGTGCATCGCTCTTTATGCTATCGACCCTAATCAATCGCTCCCCTCTTTCGATGCCTGCCGTGAGTTTTTGCTAGGTTTCAATGGCATCCACCAACAATTCCCCAATCGGTTCTCAACCTTGCGATCACTTGAACGTCTCTCTCGGTTTCAACTGCTCGCGCTTTGTCGGTTTCATGGTTTACTTAACACTCTGACTTCAAAATACCCACCCCATGAACATTTGCGTACGATCGTGTTTGAACATACCGTAAGCGACACCCCTTGCGATTTTGGCAACGACTCGCTGTTCCATGCACATTGCAATTCAACTTTAACAGCTGATGAAGAACAACTCCGGATCCTTCTCACTTCCACGGACATTCACATCTAAGTGCCACAGTTTTGAAGAACAAGGGCATCATTGTGGTGTGCACTGTATCTGACTGACTTCAATACAATGTCGCCGATAAGAGTAGCGGGTATTGCCGCAGCAGGCGGCGTCCATCAGTTATATGCGTTACTCTGCACACAGAGTCACTAACCACTCCCGATATTACGCAATTGGCGACGCTGAAAATTTGTCATCATCTTCCTTTTCTTTACATGCTTTCTTTTACGTGATCTCGCCTTCCACCATTTCCGCTCCCACTCGGCTCTTGTCCTTAAAGTCTCGGTTTAACCATATGCTTTTTCTTCCTCTTGCACATGACAATGTCACGCATGCATTAAAAGTGCCCCTTGATGATGTTCCTATGTCTGACCACAGGTATTCCATCGTCTGTCCTTGGGCACGGTGGTCCGTGAAGGTGTATGCTGGTTCCACTGTGATTTGTCGCCATACCACCTTTTTTGCTTTGCCTTTAAATAATTCCAGACTCCGAACGATTGGAAAAATTGGATTGTGTTTATCGGATGTCTGCATTCCAATTAAACACATATTTTTATAGCCTACTTATATTCGCAAAACGAACTGAAAAAAAAAAATTCATGCTGGGACAGGCGAAAGGAAACAAGGGCTGTGCAGAGTCAAGCGAAGCGCGAAGCGCAAGCACTCTAGTAAATACATGCCCCTCACAACTCTAGGCGTTGCAAATTTACATGGGCTGCTATAAATAGCGATGGTGGAACTCACGTGGGGATCGCACTTTGTGGCTTGGAGCCCCTCGAGGCCCCCTTGCACATCCTTTAACCTCCTCTCTTCAACGTGTTACAGCCTCTTACCCCCCCAATCGCTATTCGTATTACCCTCCTACAAACGACTTTTTTTTCACACCCATGAACTCGAATCATCCACTACATAGTATGAACGTAGTGCCCGATGTCATAGAACGCCGAATAGCCGTACTTGCTGTTCCGCTAGCCTCTGAGATAGATGCATTCAAGCATACCAGCATAGCCAAGAGGATCCATGCATGGTATGTCAACGCGTTGGGCGGGGTTATACTTCTTGGCTAGCTTGGAAACCTCAATCCCCTTTTTCCCCAAGGACATGGCAATCCTTCCCTATCGGTATGGGAACCGCTGCCGTCTACGTCTGCCTTTGCAATCTACACCATCAGTCGCATAACGTGCGCGATATCGCTGTCAGTTCTTCATCCGATCTTCCCCTTCTTGTTTTTTTCACTGAAATTTCCCTTCACAAAAGAGGGTGATCTATTATATCACAATCGCAATGTTCCTTTTCAACGTCCTCGCATTATTCTTCCAATTAATTCGTAAGCTTTAACTGCTACTACTCTACGGGCTTGTTTCGCTTCTTTCCTAACCCTTCTCTCGCACCTCATATGTAGTATACCCTGAACACTTCAAGAAGCTGATGTGAGAGCGACCCAACTACGACGTCCTAGTATCTTATCTCACACCACAAACCGTCCATGACCGCTCTTGTTTCCACCACCACCACCAACGTACACACATACAGATTCGATCCTGTGATGGGAGTTTTCGTCCCCATGTTCTGTTTGTCCTTGGGAACCATCGTGATCGGCACGGTGAATTTCGCTGTCCCCGATGGTGTAGTCTCAAGCGAGTTTGCCTACCGTCTATACTGGTACGTCGAACTAAATGTGATATGGTGGTGGTGGTGGTGGTTCTAATGTGAAGTTTCCCCCCTCCCCCCCTCCTTTTTATCGTCGTTGACACCAGGGTCTACATCGCATTGGCTTTAATAGTGACATTTGGAATGACCCTTTTATGGTGTGGCAAAAATTTCCATTTCCCACTTTGACAGTTTTACAAGGAAAAAAAAAAGCCTGTTGTTGGCCATCATAACTCAAATATATTTCTTTTTGTGGTAGGTTCGATGAAGGACACAAGTTGGCAGAATTCACTCCCGCCGATGCTTTCCTCATCTTTCCGCTAATGGTAAAAATGCTTTTTTATTGTCGTTATATTGATATAACTGCATTCACAGCTCGGTGGTCTTATCGGAGCCAACGTGCTTTCAGTCCTAGACCCAAAAGATGAAAGAGCTTTAGGAATCCTGTTTCGCCAGTCTATTCTTCCAAGGTTTAGGTTTCTTAATGGCGTACGTACGCTTTGTAGTTGGGCATTTACCGAGGAGAATTCACCTCTAATTTTTTCTCTTTGTTTGGGTATATAATTCACCAACCCCCTCCGGCAGGATGTTTTTCATTGCGCTGTATATTATCAAGATCTTTCTGGACGGTCTTCTATCGGGCGCACGGGCCAATGCCGCATTCGTTGTCTGTGGACCACCGGGATTCACGGCTGCAGCCCTTATCGTCCTTGGCTCACATGCTCGTACTCTGTACGGACCACGTTTCACATATACATACACATATACTTATATACCACTGCTAAAAAAAACTTACAAAACTTTTTGGTTTTTAGTTTGCCAAATTTTGGCTTAATCTCACCGATCGCAGGCGAGGTGTGGTATGCTATCGGCCTGTTCGAAGGGATCATGCTTCTCGGTCTTGCGGTGTTTTTCTTCATCTTTTCGTCGTTGCCATATTGGTTTAAATTGGAGTGCGTAGGAGTATGGGCAAGTGCAATAGTGAAACTTGCCTATACTTTTCTTTCTTGTTCTTTTTGGCTTTGCTCACTGCTGCTTCTTAGGAAGGACCTTCATCAAATACTTGGATGTACGTAATTTATTTTTTTTTTGGCTCTTTGGCTTCGGATTGCCTTCAATTTCTCTCTCTACATAAAACGTTGTTCATAACCGTGATCAGGCTGGGCTCTTACATTCCCCAATGGTGCGTTCTCATTTCTCCTTCCAACTATTCATATATCCATATGTTCGACCTGATTTAATCCCCCCGCTTTTCAAGTTGGATGGATCACTGCAGTCAAGGTGCTTTTTGTTCACTCCATATTGTGTTGCGCCTCCGCTCTGTATTCTGATAATCTGATAATTATTTTACGCGCGCGCGCGCGGCACCCCCAGCTACTCGGGACCACCTGCATATTCCTGGATTTTATATCGT